TTAAAAAGTAAACTGAACTGCTCGATATATACTAAGAATGTTTCAAATATCAACATTCAACTGGCAAAAATGGCAACTAAAGTCTTAATATATAAGATAGTGAAAATGTAAAGACAATTGCACTCCTGACTGTCTATCTATGAAGCCTCTAATAACTGAGATGGATGTCGGGACAAGACCCCTGATCATCCTAACAACTGAAATACCAAAACTGAAAGTAAATGAAAAATGAGCTCTTCGGAAAGCAAAGAGGCTCCCCAATTGACTCTGAGTGCTCAACCCGATCAGCGATGCACTAGATGCTGATTCTGGTTACCTGCGTCTGCATCATAATACGATGCAGGCCAACTGGCATTAGTACATTGAATGTACGAGTATGCGAGTTGAAATGCTAAACATAACTTAAGCTTGAAAAGAATCTGAAGGAAACACTTACTTGGCTCAACTCAACTGATTTCAATATAAAGCAGTGTAAATAAATGCAGTATCAAGAAAAGCTTTAAAACATGGTTTTTAACTCTGTGTATTTAGAAATATAATAATAACTATGTATGTATGCAAAGATACATATAACTTTGAGATGTGTATAAAAATACAAATAATAACTCTGTATGTATGCAAAGATACATATAACTCTGAGATGTATGTAAAAATACAAATAATCTGATGTATATAAAAATACGTGGGAATTTCTCTAACCGACAACCACCACTTAAGAGCTATAGTGATGATACAACATTGTACCTCACGCTGCCAAGGACCATCATATACCTTGTCGGGGGTAAGGACCTAACTCACTAAGTGGATCCATTAGTCTATGCTAAAAGACATTAAAAGATTCATCTAAAAAGTATGACCCTTTTCTACCCATGATGGCTACATGGTTTATGGGGGTTGTGGGTTCTCTGAACGCTTCCCCATATCAGTGCTCAATACTACTCCCAAATTATGATACTAGCTTTTTATGTTTAAAAACATATTTCTTTCTGTGATTTGAGATAATTGCTCAAAAACTTAGCTCAAAGGCTATCTTGGGAATCAAAGTTTTCCCTCTTGCTTAATTAAGAAAGCATTTACTCTTTTCTAAAAACCAGCCCGAAGGCTCTTTGGAAATCGATGTTTCCTTTCTTGTTTAAATATGAAAACATTTTACTCTTTGGGAATACATAGTCCCCATATACTTTTGAAGAAATGAACTTCAAGCTTTAATCTTTACTATTTACTCAACTTGAACTTTAAGTCTTAAAACAAAGTTAAAAACATTTGCAAAGGACTTCTTGAAAAGACTCTAAGAACTTCCTAGACTTGGCTCTTGACTTTCCTTGAATTTGAATTTATGGATTCAAGGTTATGATTCATGTTTCTGGATGATTTCTAGATGTTTAGAAGTCATTTAGAGTAGTTAGAATCAATGTAAAGTGTTAGTACACTTTAGAAGGACTTAAATAGGCTAACGACGAAAAGTGGTGAAAAACGACAATTTGGGCGCATCTCAAATCTGGTGCACTGCTGGCCCGCCGCGCCATCCCCTCGGGCGCTACGGGGGCGCGTCGCGCTAGCCTCCCTTCAGGCAAAATTCTGACGAACTTTTGATCTCGTTTTCTAATCCTAAATCGTTTTAATTCAAAAAAAATTCTCAAATTCACTTTAGATTCAGGTACCCAAATCATATACACAAAATCTAACCAAAACTACTCAAGGAAACAACACTTTAACATCAAGAAACTCCTTAATCAACTCATATTCAAGAAGGAAATCAATTCAAGAACAACTATCAATAACATCAAATTTTCAATCTTTTTAGGACTAAAATACTCTGAATTAAGCATGCTTGGTGTGTGGGTGAACTAACCCAACGTTATGTGATCTCACATACCCTGTAGGGATCACCCTCGACGAAATCCACAAGCTGAACTTGACGAACTTGACGATTTCCTTGCTTCTCCTTCTTTTTTCTCATCTTCTCTAAAACCCTAACTCTTTTCCAAAAGTGTAAAACTGACCAAGTTCAGTTTAGACCCTTAATTAATTCACTAAAACGAATTTAATTAATTGGATAAGGAAAAGACTGAAATACCCTTCAAAAATCCGGATTGGACATTTCCTTATTTGAATAGCCCAACTTTCAATGGGCGTATCTCACTCATACGAACTCAGATTCGCGCAAACTTGGCGGTGTTGGAAAGATCATCCCAAGAGATTTCCAACCATACCTGGAAGTACACCTAACTCATCCTGATCTAGGAGTTATGTCCGTTGAAGTTGGCTGAAACTCAACTTATTCTAACTTAACAAAAATTCCAGATTTTCATTCTTTCCAAAAATGACTATTTCCATTTATTAGCTTCTTCCTAGTTATTTCAATTTGCGAGATGTTACAATATCTCCCCCTTGGTAACATTCGTCCTTGAATGAGATTACTCTTACTAGGCTAAGGGTGCAACATGCAACATTCAGTTCAAGCACCCACAATTAAATGCAAAACAACATGCCAACTTAAAAATAAATACTAAGAAAGGATTAGTACCTTAATTCAGAACTTCTCCGGATTCGAAGAGATGTGGGTATCTCTTCTTCATATCTTCCTTAGCACCTCAAGTACCTTCCTTAACAAATGGGTTCCTCCAAGGAACTTTGACTGATGCTACCTATTTTGTTCTCAACTTGCGAACTTGGCAATTCTAGAATTTGAACAAGAATCTCTTCATAAGATAAGCTATATTTGATTCCAATATCTTTGATTGGTATAATCAACAAAGAATCACCCATGCACTTCTTCAAAATGGAGATGTGAAACACCGGATGAACCGCGACTAACTTTTGTGGTAGCTCCAACTCATAAGCTACATTACCTACCCTTTTCGATATTCTGTAAGGGCCAATATACCGGGGACTAAGTTTTCCCTTCTTACTAAATCTCATAACGCCCTTCATGGGTGAAACCTTCAAATACACCCAATCATCAACTTTAAACTCTAACTCTCTTCTCCTAACATCGTGTAGGATTTATGACGACTCTGTGCTGTTTTCAACCTCTCTTGGAGTCCATCCACCATTGGTACACACAATCTGCCTTGATACCTCAACACACCATCTCCCCCTTGTTCAAAAGCCATTACTTTTTGCTTATGAACATTTGCCTTCAATTCAGCAAAATGGGGTCTTGGTCTTGCTTGTCTTTTACTTCTGACACTAATGATGATTCAGCCCCATTCGTCACCACCACTCCTCCTCCTTTGGAATCCATAAGTCTGACTCCCTGGCGTGCAAGTCTATGTACATCTTTTGCTAACTCTCGCTTTTCTTCCTTAGTATGTGTGTGTTAGTGTGATGAATAATTGACTAGTTCTAGCTAGCATGTGGAATAAATAATGTTGTTTTTGATTAATATGTTGCATATGTCAGTGCCAGGTCTGGGGTGAAAATACCCACGATCTAGACTTGTATTTGAATTCCCATCTTCTGGATGGGAAACTAAAAAATAAGATGTCATTTAGTTTTTCCCATCTCACTAGTTAGAGGAAACTTTCTTATTTTCTTTCTAAGTGTTTCAAAGTTTATTCAAGTATGCAGTATGTATAACATACATATATGATCCGCAATCTTTATTTATGGGCTTATATTAATGAATGCTAAAGAATGTCATGAACATGAGATTAACCATTAAGATCATGAGGATGGCTATAAAGATGTACTAGGTTACAATCATAATGGTGAGAAGTAATGGAAGTAGCATCTAAGAAATTATGGACATTTATCGACCACCATAATTCTAATATTCCATTATAAGATGTATGTTATTTTATTTCATATTTTGCAAAGTCTAAAAAGTTATTATTGTGTGGTTGAGATATGACATCCTTCAATTTTATTTGTTATTTTATTTCATATTTTGCAAAGTCTAAAAAGTTATTATTTTGTGGTTGAGATATGACATCCTTCATTTATAATTTTATATCTCACACAATAGGCATGTGCCAATAGGTATTAGGAAAAGAAAATTAAACAAATAGATATGATTTATTTTTGGAAAAATTATAAGAAAAAGAAAATTATTAATTCAAATTAAATGTTATAGCCATAGTTTATTTTATTTGTAATTCGCAGCAAACATCTCATTTTTCGCCATTTGGTTTTGTATACAATTAGCCATTTTTGGTATACAATTACCCATTCGGTATACAAGTATATAAAATGTATTTGTGTTTGTATAAAGCGAGAGAAAAATGTATATACAAATACAAATACATATATTTTCGTCTTATACACTTATAATTATACAAATACAGATTTTATTATACAAATTACAATGTATAAATGAATGTATACAAAACTGAACAATTTGTATAAAATTGGATGTATCTAGCAAATTATACAAATCAAAAGCTCTATAGCAAACATAAAATTTGATATGGAGCGCAATTATGCAAACTATAGCTATAACATACAAATATGATTTTTATGTTTGCTATATGTGAAAGTTGCTCTTTATTTTTTGCGATAGGCATGTGCTATTAACCATTTGTAGTGGCGTAGCTATATAGAGTGAAGGTGGTTATTAAACACTATTCAATGAAAACTATGTTATATTTATAAAAAATTATATTATGTTAATAAGTTAAAAATTATGTTTATATATATTTAAATTTTGAACATTTTTAATAAAATTTCTAATTTCACCTTTGACAATTATTTGTTCTTATAAAAATATTTGTTTATTTTATCGTACAACATTGTAAGTTTCACATTTAACACTTTGAAGGAATATGTATGATACATTGAAAGTTTTTTTTAAAGGTAATTTTGCTATAATAGTAAAAGGTTAGGTAATAAATTATTTTAAAAAAATAGGTTAAGGTGTGAATAGCTAAAATGATAATACATTGAGGGTGCAAAATATTATTAACTCGTAGATATGTGGTGGAAAATGTTTGATACTTTCTAGCATTTCACATTTAATTGAAATCTATATAAAGACTACAAGTTCTAAATATTTTCTCACCACTTTTTTCACAACGTATTGATATTCTTAAGAAGTAGAAAATATGGGTTTGAAAGGTAAGTTAATTGCTTCAATGGAGATGAATTGTGGAGGGGGCTCGATTTTTGATATTTTTCACACCAGTACTCATCAGGTACCCAATATAAGTCCTAGGACTATCGCCCATTTTGAGATTCATAAAGGTGAAACCGTAAAAACTGGTTCGATTGTTAGTTGGAAATATATCGAAGGTAACAAATATTTTTTTGGTACTCTATCTCTCTCTCAATATGATTTACTTGCATAAATTTTCTCTATTTGGAGTATTTGATAATAACTAATAAGAAAGTTAATTTTTAAGAAAATAATCTTCATGAAAAAAAAAAATCGATGGTGTTTAATTTTCATAAATATAGTACAAGTATATCCTTTAATCTTCATAAAAGGAATATAACTTCTTTCGCTTATGGGTGGAAGAAATTTTTAATTAAAATTATTTTAACTTTAATTCTTAATTAAAATTATTTTAACTTTTACATTTTTTCTATTGGCTCCTACTAACACTTAAACATTACTTCTAATCATTAGTAATAAAAAAAAATCATCAAAGTACTAATAACATCACAAATATTATTTTCTCACCAAATAATATTTTGTAAATGTTTAAATATTTCATAAGTATTGAACAGTTGAACTAGTGATAACGATCTCTTGTATGTTCTGTTTCTAATGATTATAGCTGGACAAGATAAGTATATGAAGCACTTAATTGAAGCCATCGATCCTCACAAGAAATTGATCAAATGGAAAGTTATTGAAGGAGATTTATTAGAGTTGTATAATTACTTTGATTATACAACATCTTGTGACCACCAGTGGACTACTTGGACAATTGAATACGAAAAGAAAACTGAAGACACCCCAGAACCCCTCATTCACTTTGGTAATATCCTTGACATGACCAAGGATATAGAGGGTCACCTTCTCCAGAAATAGTGTGTACATATATATATATATATACAGACACACAAACATTAGAAGTAACTGTGTTTGTGTGATGAATAATTTGCAACTAGCTAGCATGTGGAATAATAAATAATATAATGTCAATGTCCATACACATTATAAGTATGTGTGTGTTAGTGTGATGAATAATTGGCTAGTTCTAGCAAGCATGTGGAATAAATAATGTTGTTTTTGATGAATATATTGTATATGTCACTAGTACTAATATCATGCCACAAAAACATAAACATATATAAACTGATCAACCAATTCCTTTTTAAGAATCATAGCAGAAGAATACTAAGACGGCACATTATCTGCCAGAATATAACGAATTCCCAACGATTACATAAGAAAGACGTATCAATCGTCTGCAACTTCCTTCGAAAGCCTGCAAAAAGTGAAGTGTTGAATCTTGATATCTGCCAACAGGATCTCATCAAACACTAAAATGAACACATCAGTGAAAAGAGTAATAACTCTACCTGCTTTTGTTATCGAGATAGGACCTCGCAACACAACCAACAAATGCAGCATACATCACAACTCCTAACAGGGGTATAAAGCTGTGTTGATAAAATAAAGGCACATCAGAGAAACCTTAGCCACTCCCCCCATACAGCAGACTCTATCAAAACAAACGAAAAGTATGAAGCAACATATAACAGTTACCATTGTCAAAAAAAAGAATGAAGCTACATAGAGACTCAAGACTCAAGTACCCCAAAAACGCACCACAAAAGAGGCAGGTGTGCTTGGGACAAGCGTCTCCCACCACGACAAGCACATCTTCTACAGAATAGGTCCTAAAGTCCACAGAAGAATTTGAGATATTAATTGCTAAGGGAAACCTCCAAAATTATAAGGAATGTTTGCCAAGAAGACATCAGAAAAGTTCTAATTTTAGAATGTGCCTTGGACTTGGAAGATACAACAAAATAACAACTGAGCTGTAGTTAGGGTGGAGCAACTGCACGTCGTGAGACAAACACAAATTAGTAACATAAACACAACCCATGAACCCACAGTCATGGCATCTTTATAGACATAGAACTAGTAAACTTCCTGTTGTCCTCATGGATGATCACCAACATGCCAAAATCTGTAGTAGATACTCAGCCATCAGCTTGAAAAATAAAGTTGATTAAATTGCAGAAAGAAAAACTAAAGTACAAGACCAGTATAATCTCCCAAATAACATGAAACAAGTATGGAGAATTCTTAAAATTTATAACATGGATTAGATATGCCGAACAGTAGCAAAATAAACCTTTGAAGGCCATGTCAAATAACTCCCCATTCATCTCTTTCTCCCACCACGTTCTCTTAGTGAGAGACCGAGTGTTTCTCCAGATGCAACATTATAGTACGCAAGAGACAAGTTGTCCTTGAGAAAACCAGCCTTTCCACTCAGTTTTTGTTTGTTCGCGGGCAGCTGGATCTCCCCAGAAATCTTCTCTTTTAGACTGGCAATGGTTTCGGACAGAGATTGCACTGTGATTTCCAGAACTTGTCCTTTGAGATTCCCTTCATCGGTATTCGGCACAGATATATTGATCCTTGCAGGTCCCTGCAATACAACCCCAGCAGGCAACAAAATTTCCATGGATGTAAGAAAAATGAGGCACTAAGCAAAATTCACAGAGACCCAGACAATTATGTAAAAGTTGGGGGAAAAAAAGAGCTATCCATACCGAGTGCTGAGCCAAGAACTGGTCTTCAGGAATGAGAATAGACTCATCAAGCTTTTGCCTCTTCGGTTCTGGCTCTTCAGGGAGAGGAGGGGCCTCCTCTGGTGGAGGGGGTGGCGGCATTCCTTGGGGCATAGGAGGCGGCGGGACCATAGACATTCCGGGCTGGGACATCGGGTGGGGAACAAAGGGTCGAGGTGCTCCCAAAGGTGTAAACTGTGATCCAGGAGGTGGTGGAATTGGAAGGCTATGAGAGTTCATACCCATCGATGGAGGCATTGGAGGGCGATTCACCATGAAATTTTGCTGACCTGGCATCTGTGGCATGGGAGGAGGTGGGGGCCGAACCTGAGGAATCATGTTAACCATAGGAGGTCGAGGTGGAGGTGGAGCAGCAACCCCAGGAGTAGAATACTGGACTGTATTAGGAGGCCTAGGAATATTCAGTGCAAGCCCAGGTGGCGGAGGTAGTGGCCTAATAGATGGAAAACCGGGTCTGGGAGGTGGAGGAGCCTGTGGTCCAGGAAGGTTTCTTGCATCATTTGCAGCATCATTCTGTTCATCACTGTTCTGAGACATTGCCTGGTTCGCAGTGCGACCAATGCTACCTGTGTGACCATCCCATATGACTTGCTTCGGCTCTTCCGTCTTTTTCTCAATCTCAGCCTTGACCGCATTTGAAACTTCTTCTTCCGTGGTACCAAATATATCCGGACGGGTTCTTGCAAGTCCAACAATGTTCCTAGAAATCTCATCATCCTGTGCAAGAGTCGTCTCCTTAATCTTCGCAAACATCCTGTCCTTCTGTTCCTTATACTTTGGATCAATGAGAGAGATCCTCATATGTTCAGACATCTCATTAATAGGTATTAGCTCACCGGTTATAGGTGAGACAACATACTTAGTTGGGTCCCTTTCTGCCAGGATCCTCTCTTCAGGCCTCTTCCAGTTCTTCACAATCCGCATTGGTGGGTCCTGTTCCACTGGAATTGCCATGGCTTCAGCACTCTTGATACCACCATTCTCTTCAAGAGTCGCAGCTCGCATACCTTCTTCAACTAGCTGCACCTCTTCTTCATCCATCTCCATTTCCACCTCTTTTCCAGGCTCAACATACTCTTCTTCCTCCAATGTAGGCATCTTGCTCCTCCTTATAACCTCCTCGAGGGTCATAGGTGGAGGTAAATCCTGATCCTCGTCATCAGCAAAATCTATAGTCTCAACAACAACAAAATCATGCCAATCAATCATAGCCATCTGCACCCTCTCCTGTTCTATCTCATCTTCAGCTTTTTGTCGAGCCTGCTCCTGTGACCTTTCCCATTCCAACCGATGCAGACATCGCTCTAGGACTGTTGTCATGTCAGCAGCACTCTTCTGCAGCTTATCCGTCAAGCCTTTGGGAGGCATCAGAACTTTTGAATACGCATCCGCAAGTGAAGTGAAAAACATGAACATGCTGTGAGTAGGCTTTAGAAAATGAAATTGGGGATTATTAATCTCCCTGCTTGTTAACCCTGTTAAGAAAGACTTCCCATTTCTGGCCACAAATTGTGCTGTAAGCTTAATAATATCCAGTTCTTCACCTGTGATCCCTTCAGGGAGTCTTACAGTATATTGCTCTGCCTCAGGTGGCTCGAGAACCTTTCTGACAGGTCTAAACTGAGCTGATGGATCAGGTTTAGCAGTTGCCTCAGCACCATCAGCGGTAGGAGGAGCAGAGGCTGCTTCATTGTCATCTGGCTGAGTAGGCTGCTCTCCAGAAGCCTGATTCTGTGCGCGAGCATCAGCCAAACGGTGCTGATAATAGGCATGGTAAGGATCAGAGGCATTCAAGAAGTTGAATTTTGCATTGCCAGCGTTATTTAGAACAATTCTCTTCTCAAATTCCGGACCATTCTTCGCAACAAACTGTGAAGTCTTATCAACAATACTCCTAATATCTGGAGGAGGGTAAATGATACCAATAGTTCTCGTATGTGTAGCAACAGATGTTGGAACCTTGTTGGCTTTATTGTTGTCCTCTTCATTCTCTTCCATGGTATCATCCTCTGGTTCCTCTACCACCTGAGCTGGAGGTGTTGGTCCCAGATTCCCATCCAAAGGGGGAGCCGGAAGGGGCAATATTGTTGTGGTGCCAAACATTTCTATTCCTGCAAGTTGCAGCGAATTTCATTTTCAAAAAAAAAAACAATTCATTTGTGGCACATAGCATTGAGAACGAATGATTGAAGGAAAAAAAAAAAGAAGCTTATTCATATCTTCATAATTTTTCCCTCGGGTAAGCCCCATGAAAATGTTACTTCAAGAGCTCTTTAAATACATCAGATAACTGAAAAGATCTCAACAAATTTACAAATATGAACACAAAATCTCACTTCTCATGAAAAATGGAACTTCAGCAGCTAATGCCAGCTCTTTAAATACATCACATAACTGAAAAGATCCCAACAAATGACAGATATGAACACAAAATCTCTCTCTTCTCATGAAAAATTTAACTTCAACAGCTAATCTCAGCTCACTAAATACATCACATAACAGGCGAACAGAGAAGCTTATCAGCAATTTTCTGGTATATGACAACAACTAGACGAGGAAGACGGAACTTACCTGAAGACGAACAGCGACAGGCGTCAACCGACGGCAACCGGCGGCAGAACTCTCTCTGAATCTCGGACTCTCAGTGAATTTTGAGATTAGAAGACCTAATTGGAAATTTGGAACCCTAGAATTTGATCGATTGTTCTTATTGTTATTAGAACATTCTTATATTTGTGCATTTATTAAATGGGAACAATTTGTTTTAGTATTATTTAATTGGATAACTTCTTCTTCTTCTTCTTTTTTAAAAAAAAATTATGATTAGTTTTCTTTGTAAACAATTGTTTTTATTGACGATTTTTTATTTGTAACATATAATTTATGTTAAATTTACTTTCATTTAATAAAGTGTGAATCTGAATTGTTTGAATTTATGAAGGTTAAAGCAGATATTATAATATTTTGCGAAAATTATTTTACCTCTTGACTATTAATGTAACTAATTTGTAAGTTGTATTTTTGAGTTTGACAAATGCAATAATATGCAAAATTGAGAAAAAGGATGTCGGGTTTGACGACATCAAACATTAATTCAGAAATTATGAAAGCGAATAATTGTGTGAAAACAACGATAAATCGCACCGACCAATTTGTCTTGGAGGAAAATGAAAAGGCATAAAGAATGAATAATGTCAAGTTTGACGACATTCACATAATAATTCAAAATTTTGGAAGCGAGAGTTTGTTGTGGAGATAGAGAGAGATATTATGAAGAACTATGAGAAGATAGCAAAAAAACACAACTAGTAAATCAAACTTATTGTTACTCGTGACGAAAAATGTGAGAATGAAAAAGTAGTCATGGTAAAGGAAGTTGAGGATGTCGAACTCAAGTATGAATTGCAAATTGAATTCTTGAAATCGCACTTCAAGCATTTTTCTACATTAGATTTGTATAGTGATACACAATTTCATCCTCTATGAATTTAAGTGGATCTGCAAAAAGAAAAGACAAGAGCAAGGTAAGTGACATTTGGCATGTTCGTGTACATATCGTCTCCTACGATTTTATGAGAACAAGAGTAAATCTCATTATGTTGCTCAAGGGAAAACGATAAAGTACCCCGCATTGTGTTGTAACATTAAATCAAACGTTTGTTGAGAAGCAACCCATCAATCTTTAAATTAGGTTATGTAATTTATTTATTTAATAATATCTTTTAGTATAGAATTTATCTACTAAATGTGAGAAGACCTTTTCTTTTTTTTTGGAAAGGACATAATTGAAATATTGCCAGACCAATAAGATGCAGATGTCGCAATTATGACTTGTAGTTTACAAACGCGTACATTAAGTAAAATTTCATATATCACAATTACAATGTGAGATTTGTAATTGCGATATGCGAGAGACTTATACTCGTTGAACTTACTCTTCCATAAATTTCAATTTTATTTGAAGTCTCTCTTCCTTTCTCTCAAAAATTTAAATTGTCTTCAATAAAAATTTCAAATATTCTAATTGTTTTCGATTTATTTTCCAACAATTTTTCTCACTTATTGAAGAATCAAAGCATATACACTCGAGAATTTAGATATGAAAGCTTAAACTCTTGCTCTTATCTTTTGAAGGAGTGATATATTCCTTTTTAAAAACGAAAAATCTTCACTAAATACTAGTATATACACCAACTAAAAAGAAAGCGAAAAAAAAAAGAAAAAGACAAGTTCGTACAAAATTATATAATACTGAATATTATCCATTGAATATTTTATTTCCGATAGGTATAAGATCAAATGGAGACAACCAAACAACATGCCTTCATAAAAAAAAAACATGTTAAATAGCAATGACCAAATAAAATACGTGTGAATACGAATTCGAGAGTATATTGACCCATGGGTCCAACTTTTGGGTCAAAAATTATGTTTACTACCCAAACAAAGTTTGGGCCCAATTTTTTTAGAATCCATTAAAGGCCTATTAGGGTTTGATGAGTATATAGCAGTACCCTTTACCTTCTCCGCGATCTCTGTACATTGAAGGAGACGAACAAACATGGTGCACGTCTCTTTTTATCGCAACTGTGAGTATTTTTTTCTCCTTTTTGTCTAATCTCTCATTGTGTATCTCTTTGATTATACGCAAAATAGTGATTTTTTGGGGGGAATTTAGTAGGAATATGGATGTATGCAGCATTTGAGATCAATTTATGTCGTTAATAGTGTGGTTTTATTGTAAAGTTTTAGTTTTTTAGCTAATTGCACCATTGTTTAGATTTGGGTAGCTGGTAATTGTACTAGTTTGTATAAGTTTATTTGTTTCATTAATGGAGAACCTTGAAGGTTATAACTGTATGATCAGTTGGTTTGGAATGTAAATTTCAATTGTGTTGCTCGGATTTGAAATTGGGTCACTTTTCATTTTTCGTTTTTTTAATGCGATTGAGGACTTTTATATTACCATTGGGCTAAGAGTGAGGTTATGGAGTCTCTGTGTTTTGAGAGACTCCTTATTTACCTTAAAGTTAAATTATGTGCTTCATTCGTCCCAATTTATGAGACATGGTTTGGACTGGACATGAAGATTATGAAAAAGTTGGAAGACGTTTGAAATTTGTGTTCTAAAATGAACCGTAGATGTTTGGTGTGACTAAAAATCATTTTATTAAGTGCAAGTGTAAAGATGAATTTTTAAGTTGAGTTGAATTTAACTTCAGAAAGGGGACATTTTTTTTTTGGTATGGCCTGAAAAGGGAAGTATGTCTCATGAATTGTAACGGAGGGAGTAGCATTTTTCGGGTTGTTTAGTTGACGACATCTGATGTGTGATTTAGTCATTAGTTGATTGATTGATGACGTCTGTTATATGCAGTGACCTAACATTAATTGGTCTTTATGTCTAATAGTCTGTATTTTTCAACTTTGCTGTGATATGCTTAGCTCAAAATTCAGGCTGTGTATAGTATATTCACATGGTAATTAAGTCTATCTTACATAATTGTGATATGTAATTCAGATGGGAAGACCTTTAAGAAGCCACGAAGGCCCTACGAGAAGGAGCGATTGGATGCAGAATTGAAACTTGTAGGAGAGTATGGACTAAGGTGCAAGAGGGAGCTTTGGAGAGTTCAGTATGCTTTGAGCCGTATCAGGAATGCTGCTAGAATGCTTCTGACATTGGATGAGAAGGATTCACGTCGTATTTTTGAAGGTGAAGCTCTCCTGAGGAGGATGAACAGGTATGGATTGTTGGATGAGAGCCAAAACAAGCTTGATTATGTCTTGGCACTCACCGTGGAGAACTTTCTTGAGCGTCGTCTCCAAACACTTGTCTTCAAGACTGGCATGGCTAAGTCAATTCATCATGCCAGAGTGCTCATCAGGCAAAGGCATATCAGGTACAAATAGTTACTTTATTGGCCAAATGGAAATAAATAATTTCAGTCTTGCTTGTTTTTGTTGTTTATCAATTTTTCCCACTGCTGTGCATATATCTCTGCTGGATTTGTGAAGAACACAATTTACCAATATAGCATTTTTGGGTTCAACCACTTCTTATTTTTCAAAATCTTCCTGAATTATTGGCGTTGATTTTACACCAAATGTTTAGACGATCCTATAAATGCTACAAAGATCCATCAACAATTAAAGACAAGTTTTTTATCTGGCATTATCTAGTAGATCAAAGTTCCATGTTATGAAGATTGTTTCATTTCATCAATCAAAATTTTCTTTTTTCGTCAATCAATATTAGGCGGGAAAGGAACACTTTATTTTTATTCCGGAGTTATTTTCAAATGCACTTTATACTACGATTGCCATTTCCGTGCAAATAGGATTTTATTAAATGTAGTGAGTTTATGACAACATACTAGACATGGCATGAAAATAATATCTGGTGCATGATTATTCATTTCTTTCAAGTATTTATCAGAAGAAAGAAGTCTGCTGCATGTAGCACTAGTTTTGTTTTACACCAAGCAGAATCACATATAATATACAGAATCCCCAGTGTAGTAATGTACCTACTTTTTATTTGGTGCCTGGGAATTCGGATCTCTCAGTTCTGATTCACAATATCTTTGCATTGCAGAGTTGGTAGGCAGGTGGTGAATGTTGCTTCTTTTATGGTGAGAGTGGACTCCCAGAAGCACATTGACTTCTCTCTCACTAGTCCGTTTGGTGGTGGCCGTCCTGGAAGAGTGAAGCGAAAGAACCAAAAGTCCGCTGCCAAGAAGGCTGCTGGTGGTGATGGTGATGAAGAGGATGAAGAATGATCAACTATCTTAGTGTTTGGTCTATTTGGCTTGTAGTACTGGCCTATCTTATTTTTCTGCTATTTGTGGTTTATCTTCATGTAGTAGTAAAGAAATATTAAACAGAAGTTTCTAATTTTGGATTTTGCAGTGTTTTAAGAGTTTTGACTAAATCTGTCTTACCATATGATTTTTTTGAGAATTTTACCCTCTTAAGGGGTCGTTATACATGTATTAGTGACGTAGAGATTAGTTATGAGTGAATCTTGAAGAAAAATAGGAAAGACGGGGTCTTTTAGAGGAGAGGGAGATGGAGAGAGTGTTGAAGCTTCAACTCTTCGTCTCCATTGCCATGCATTGGAGCTCTGGTCATCACCATTGATGAACTTACCAAGGTTTCGACTAGCAAGGATCTTGTTTGTGAGGGCAAACAACTCTAAAATTGAGATGTGGAAGGTAAATATGGACGATCTTTATGTGCTACAACTTATTCTTGATGTGAAACTCGAGATTGATTAACTCTCTCCCTTTTTTAGAGGATCCATCAGTGTTGCATTTGTACATTGCATTAGGAGATGTAGACTATAGTATTTGTTATTCTTAAGCACAATATTATTTAAAATAATTCATATGCTATAATTGAAATGTCAAAGTGAATTATGCATACTTGACTTCAAAATTAAAAAATCTAATATAAGTATAATGTAACCAACAAAGAAATTAGTCAAAAATAATATTTACTTAGGTTGGACTTTTTCATCAATCATATTATAGTTTCATGCATTACGTGATTAAAAAGTACAGTATTAAAAAAAGAAGTAAACAAAGCGCGCACACAAAAAAAAAATCACAACAATGTTGGGAAAAAGGCTTAAATTGAAATTAGAATAATAAAATTTGCTATGCAAAAAAAAATTAAAACGCTTTGATCTTTAAAAGATGTTACTTAAATATAAGTTTAATGGTGATCAAGTTATAGAATACTTTTCTTTTCTAACATGTTCTATTATAATTATAATTATAGTATATAGGGTAAATTTTAATTGAATTTTAACTAATGATAATAAAATTATGATAAACAAGAATTATATTTCTATCACACAATTCAAATAAGAAAATTTTAAATTATTACCTACTTCGTATACGAAAAGGCTTAGTAAACTTTTCATTTGATTTTAATTTCCTAAATATTATAAAAATAATTCATAACTATTTTGTTTAGTGTGAAATTTCATTTTAACTGGATTAAAAAAGTGAACAATATTTCATCAAGACCTTTCTTATTCTTAAAAGAAGTTCAATGAAGATCAAATTACAAAATAGCTTTTCTTTCTAACATGTTCTATTACAACTATATTTTAGTACATATGGAAAATCTTAATTAGAATTTATAGCTCTCTAATAATAAAATAAGGATCAAAAGAAAATATAATCCTATTAGACAATCCAAAAAAGGAATTTAAATAAAATAAATTTTAAAGCCCTAAATATTAAGATCATACCTATTTTCATATAAGGAAAGATACTCAATAAGAATTTTTTATTTAATTTCAAAGTCTTGACTCATATATAAGTAATTGACTAATTACTTTGCCTCCAAATTAAAAAAAAAAATTAGATCATATTATCTGTTAAACAAAAAATATTTGAAAGTATTTTAATGGAAGAAAATGTTTTATTAGAAGTCCCTAAGAAAATTATATTTTATATTTTCTTGTAAAGAAAATTGGATAAGTGACAATTAGTTTAGGTCCATTTATTTTAGTTGTTGTGTTTTTATATTATAAATAGTTAGTCTAAATTAGTTGTTATTATACACAATGAAGATATAATTAGTTACTTACTCCCTTGGTCTCATTTTATTGTTTAATAGTTTATTAAATGCATAAACATTAAGGTTATGTGTAGTAAATTCTAAAACTTGCAACGATTTTAGTTTGATTGATCAATAAAAAATAAACTCAAAATGAGAAACTTTATCTATAATATTATTATAAAATTTCCTTTTAAGAAAGATTTTTTTGGAACTTATCATATCAAATACACAAGTTTAATACGTAATATTTTTATATTTGATATATTAATACAGCTTATCAAGTTTGGGACTGATATTTATAGTAGTTTTTTTTAGGTTATTATTAAATATTGTTATACATAACTTATCATTATTATTTAGTATAAGAGCTCTATTTTATGGTAAAATGATTATTTAATTTAACTAAATATTTGACTCATATAAGGTTGTGATGAATGGGCTCAACAATTGGAAATATGGATATCCATATTTGTCTATATAAGTTAAACGACTTGATTTTTTTAATAAATATGGACTGAATTTACCGACTTTATTTATACGTATACTTTGACATTTAATGGAGGTCCTATGCTTTTGAGGGATGGTTGATTTAATCGGTTTGAAAAATATAAAGAACTTGTATTACTTTTGATTGTATTTACGTAATATTGGTATGTCACGAGTTTAGATGTAGTAAGATGGTTAATAAGCGTTTATATAGGCATAAACGATCCCAACTTTTTTGGGACTAAAGGCGTAATAGTAGTTATTGAATTAGTTTAGAGAATCCAACACGAGTAAGACAATATTTTTTTTGGAGAATCCAGTCTTAACACATGTACACATTGTTCTAACTCCAACTAATAGAATGGGAGAGCTACACTTGACAATTACTATTTTGCTTGATGGCTTTCTTTCTTATTGATTTTAGGTTCATACTTTACTCTCTAATTCGAAAAGATTGTATACCAATGTTTCCATAGTAGGAACTTCCACTTTTCTTAGTCAAAGTATGGACTTGGGCTCCGATTCAGAACTTTGAATCGATCAATCGAGTGGAACAACGAGATGCCCCGAAAAAGTTGCCATAAGAGAAGCCTCTAAAGAAAAAAAAGTGACATAATAGGTCAAAAATTGTTCTCACTCCTTGCCGGAGCGGCATACCAAAAAAAAAAGTCCTTCCTCATATTCGAACCGATGACTTTCTTAACCTATTTCTAAAGGGTGAACTGATCAACTTGCATGTGTTAAGCATACGACTGACGTAGCATGAATAGACCTTCTTTATCACTTTTCGACTAGCTATAAACTTCACCTCCCCTCCCTTCCCTTACTTAGATGGAGAAATAAGTATACAGTCCACTATTTTTGGAGAGTTAAATCAGCTTTCACTACACTTGTGAAACATCATCTGATAAACATGCCTGTGATGCACTATATATGTATCACAATAAAATGAATAAAGCTTCAAACAACAACAACATATCAAGTGAAATTTGGAGAGGATAGAGTGTATCCAGACCTTACCACTACCTCGTGAATCTACCTTACCACTACCTCGTGAATCTTGAAGGTAGAAAGATTGTTTCTGAATGACCTTCAGCTCGATTAAAACAATATAAAGCTCAAAATAACACAAATTTAAACTGAAAGTAGAAAGGTATTCTAAAGGTATCAATAATGTCTCAATTTGTAGCCTGTCAACAAGAATAAATGTATTTGGTACATAAAACAAGATCTCAAATGAACATCACTACAAAACCTTATTTTTCTTCCTCAACAATGTCAATAAAAATAAGGATCACAGCAGAACCAAAATCTATCACTGTATTGCTCCCATCTTCAAGTTAATATTTTACCTATGCGGCGCCTTTGGAGTTTTATGCAAATGAAAATGGGAGATGATAAAAGTCGTACTCAAGATCGACCTTCTAAAGAAGGTAATTCTGTTGAATATTGGGTATAGTTTGGTAATCTGATAAGATAAAAACAGAAGGATTCAAAAACGAAAAGGTTGGGATAAATTACCAATTGGCAAGAATTCCCAATTCTGTATCTACTTGCAAAAATCATATATGTCAGCAACCCATGACAGCACAATTATACACAAAGCTACCAGATCGCTTTCGTCCAAGTAAGTTCCACTGAGGCGGTCCTTCACTAGGAACCCATGAATTAACTTCGATATGCCCTTCACCCATGGTTCTAGGCCCTCCGATTACAATTAGCCTATCACCACAAGCTCGAAAAGCCAAGCCCCAACCATTCATCGAAGCTGCTCTTTCGGGCAATCTTCCAATAGTAGCCCATATTTTATTTTGCTTGTCATACTTCCTCACCTCCATGTCAGCATAATCAGCAGCATACAAATCATTATTTACAACTGCAACCAAAGGAGGTGCTTCTGAAGTAGCAGGCATATCACCCCTAGCTCGGACAGGAGACATGCTCGAAATTTCAGTCCATTTTTCTGTTTTCAAATCATATTCCTCTCCACAAGTCAGTAGCGCGTTTGACGACTCTGTACCTCCAATGCCTCCAATTACATAAAACTTGTTGTCCATAAATACCGCAGAACACATCTTACGCCGCTTGTTCATGCTTGGTAAGGTCTTCCACGTTCCAGTCTCTGAATTGTAAAGTTCTGCTGAGCTGAGGATATTGCCCTGTGAGTCACAACCACCAGCTAGAATGGCAATCTCCCCAGAGCTGGCAGAGCCAAACAAACACCTTGGTGCATTCATTTCCATTCCAGATGACCAACTGTTTGTCAGTATACTATAACGATAAATGACATGTGACAAAATCTCCTTTCCAAACACAAGCAGCTCAGTGCCAACTGCTAAAGACTCCTTGTCTGAGAACACAAAACATTCATTGAAATTCATTGATGGTAGATGCATCCAACGGCGACGAATGGGGTCAAAAGCTTCCCATTGACGAAGATGGCAAGAAAAATAAACCCAATGCTCAACCACGCCTTGTTGACGCCGCAGTCTGTAAAGCTCCCCACTCCTAATTAACGAGCGGAAGCTACGATTTAAAGATGCAATAGCACCATAATCAGACCTGGAGCAATGAATGAGAGAGCTAACAGAGTTGTCTCGGCCAATGGATGGAATAAGAGAACTGGTATCTTCATCATGACGCTGGTCACCAGCTTGGTCATCTGGTGACGCTAGAACGACTTCTTCTCCATCACGAGCATCAGATAGCTTTGGCAACT